GCCAAGCTTTGGGGCCAGCCATGCTGCGGAGCACAGCCACTGGTGGCCCCAGGGCTGCTCAGCACGGCAGGACTGACACTCTGCTCCTTTTGAGTTCAGCGTCCTCAGACAAGGGAAAAACCAGTCACCACCTCATCAACTAGACCTGAGTGCCACGTCCAGTCATTTCTTGAACACCTCCAAGGATGGTGACTCCACCACTGCCCAGGCAGCCCCTTCCAATGCCTGACCAGCCTTTCCATGAAGAAATTCTTCCTGATGTACAGCGTGAACCTGCTCTGGTGCAGCTTGAGGCTATGACTTCTCCTGTTGCTTGTTACCTGGGAGAAGAGGTTGATCCCCACCTGGAAACAACCTCCTTTCAGGTAGAAAACCTGCAGATTATTTCCAACTATGTTCTAGAATACTTGTTAGGAACAAGTTGCTCAGATGCTTCACCGAGTGTGACACTTTCTATACCCCTGGCCTGCTGAGTTGCCATAGCAGGAAAAGTTGTCTGTGACAGAAAAGTCTATGCTTTTGAGAAATCACAGATATGAATTCAGCAGTCATGGTTTGTGCTCTAAGACGGAGGGCACTGAGCTCCAGAAAGCTGAATTACAAAGAATAAGTCAACGACACAGAACATGAGGTGACTGGCATGTTGTACCAAGGAGATGAACGTCTAAACTGGATTACCTATGACTTTTACGATATCACATTTATTTTGCCTCATGGCTGCACAACTCAATAACTGAGCTACCCAAGAAGTTTGCAGACCACCTGTAAAACAAAAAAAAACAAGAGATGGGTGTAGCCACAGCTGATGGTTAGAAGGTTGCCTACCACCTGTAAAAAAAAAAATAAAAAAAATTAGACAGCACATGCCTTGGTCCACCGATGATACAAGACCTAGAAGAAACATGTAATTTGGTCCAGGAAGTGGAATGATCACCTTGCTCATCTCCCCTCTGGTGCAGATAGCTAACGCCACCCCAGGCTCATCATCTTCATGCTCAGAAACAAAAAGCCAAACTATAAGGCACTCAATGGACCCAAAATTGGTGACAGAGACACATCGTCTCTGTGATGCCGAGTGATGATCCACCTTCTTGCTCTGCTGCTCTGGCTTCCTCCAATTCTGCTGGACACCCTGTCCACTGGCCTCTGAACAAAAAGAAGGACTCATCATCTCACCCAGATGCTCAGTGAAAGCTTAACCTTTTCAAAGTTCTCATGGCCATTCAGGAAATCTAGATGTCAACTACAGCCTGCATTAAGACAGATAAAACAACCACCAAAATTCATGGCGCTGCTAGACAGTTCCCATCACATCCACAGTGTCAAGCCACGCTGAGGGATGCTCAAGAGCTGTGCCCAAACCTCCCAATCGATTCTCTGTTTTGGAGGAGACCACAATAGAGGGACATGTGCCACCTCTTCCAGCTCACCAAGGGAGATCAACCTCCCCTGTATCTGCAAGAGCAGGATGCTCGTGTGCCACCTGCGATCTCCCAATGACATTATTTCCCCCATGCCGTGAAGCTGGGTACCTACCCCAAGACACCCTTGGCAGGAAGAAGAGCTGGCCCTGGACAATGTCCTCATCGTTGTTGAAAGGAAGGTCCCTGCAGACCATCTCATAGACCAGACTGTTGCTGAATAGCCACAGTGGCAGTGGAAGAGGATCCACTCCAGTGGGCTGTATTCCGCTGTTCCTACAGGACAGAGGAGGAGCTCATCAGGTGGATGCTGCCCACTCCCAGACTCCTGCCCAAGCATCCCTGAGGGTGCGGGGGCTGCACCAGTGGCACTCAGTGTGACTTGCCACCTTCTTGCCAGCACCCAACTCGTTTACAAACTTTGGGTTGTAAAAGAAAGCCCCCGCTGCTGGAAGAGGGTGTCGGGGGCCCTGGGAAGGCCCAACTGCCACACGCAAGGAAAAGACCCATGGCTGCATACGGAAAACCTTGCTTTTATCCCCCTACACCCTAGCCTGGCCTTGGCCAAGAAAAAAATCATAGGCCAAGGCAGAAAAGGGGACTAGAGCAGCCCAAGCCCTTCTGCATGCACAAAGGAACACAGGCAGTGCATTGGGATTTGCAACCCCCACTCCGCTACCTCCGTGGGTTTTTGGTTTTGCTACACTGGCTCCTCACCACCAGCCCCAGGCCCCAGGGGGTAGTGGAGGCTGTCAGCAGAGCTGGGAGCTGAAGTGCTTTCAGGCTCGCGGAGTCCAGAGTATCCACTCTGGTGCTGCCACACAGTAAAACGAGCCAGGGCGCAATCCTCTCAGCTAGATGTACCCTGAAGCACTTTCAGGCTGGCAAAGTCCAGAGTGTCCACTACAGGTCCCTCCCAGTAAAGCAGGCCAGGGCAAAACCAGTTGCTGGATTTGCCCTTCTCTTTGCAGCCTTTCAAATCTACACTACACCCTGGGGCTAGGCACTTTCCTTCTCTCATAGATGGACTCTCCTCTTCCACTCTCGCACATCTGTCTTGGGAACCATAAAGAATCCAGCAGCTGAGCCCATGCAAAATATCCTAACCTGCAGGAGAATCCTATAAACTTTAGATAAGGGGCAGAGTTTGTAAGCTTAAGACTATTAACCAATCGGCATCCAACATTCAAGGCTGTGAAACAACTCATTAGAAGCGAGAAGATACAACAGTAATTTATAGACTAGGATGAAAAGATGAGTGCTTAAAAGACCATGAAAAGGACTGTAAGTGCAAAAAAAGGACGCTGGATGGCACTAAAGACCGTGTAATAATTACAGCTTTTCTCTCCACAAATTTCCCTGGGAGAACTGGAGCTGAAAAATTTTCGCTTTACAAGAACACAACGGGTTTTGACCTGGCTGGTTTTACTGTGCGGGAGCTGCAGTGGACACTCCAGACTCTGCCAGCCGGAAAGTGCTTCAGGTTACACGGAGCTGAGAAAAACGTGCAGCACAGTGTTGGGTGTGTGCAGTTTAAAGGCTGATGCCTTGCACTTCCCTTCTCAGCTCTCCCAACTATCTTGTTCTGTGTATCTTGCAGTGTTCTTGTAAAGTGAAAATTTTTCAGCTCCAGTTCTCCCAGGGAAATTTGCGGAGAGAAAAGCTGTTAGGATTCTGTTCCAAACAGCACCCCTACATATGTTGCCAGAAAAAGCCCCAGATCACAAAATTACAGAATCAATTAGGCTGGAAAAGACCTCTAAGATCACAGAGTCCGACTTTTGACCAAACACCACAATATCAACTAGACCATAGCACTAAGTGCTATATCCAGTTGTTTCTTAAACAACTCCAGGGATGGTGACTCCACCACATCCCTGGGCTGTCCATCCCAATGTTTAATCACCCTTTTTGTGAAGAAATTCTTCCTTATGTCCAACCTAAACCTCCCCTAGCACAGCTTGAGAACTGTTTCTCCTTGTCCTGTCACTCATTGCCTGAGAGAAGAGGCTGAACCCCACTCAGCTACAACCTCCTTTCAGGTAGTTGTAGAGAGTGATAAGATCACCCCTGAGCCTCCTCTTCTTCAGGCTAAACAACCCCAGCTCCCTCAGCTGCACCTCAAAATCACTGATGAGGTGGGGATCCCTGCAGCTTCTAAAGTGATCTTCGTAATACCACTCAGAACAGAAGAATGCAGGACAAACCCCAATGTAAAACCACCAATAATCATGGATAGTAAGAAACATCGCTGAGCATGTAGTTGCTCAAGGCACAAAGTCACCTTCCTCAAAACCAAGACCTGTTAAGTGATGACAGAAGACACACTAAGATAGCAACATTCCCTGGAAAAAGGCATCCCCAAGCTAAAAAGGATCCCAAAAACCCCATGTAAACTTCTCCACCTGCTAATCTGCTGGTTCCAGAAGAAAAAACGTGGAAGTTAACACATGGAGAGCATCACGGGAAGCAGGAAACCACAGCAATAAAATCTGGGCATGCAACACTCTGAAAAAGCCAGGGTGAAGCACTGCTCCAGAATAGCTCTGTAAAGTGCCCCAACATACACCAGTCACTGTAGAAGTCAAGAGAAAAGCCATAGGGTGAAACACCTCAAAAAGAGGTGGAAGCTTTTGAAAAAAACAAAGAAATAAAACAAACAGGTCTGAAGGACTACTCCAGGGCCACGTGGTGATGCACTCCAAAAAACACCAGGTGAGGAAGAAAACAAAAGAATCAGTGAGCAATGTGCTAAAGAAAGGCAGTGAAGGACTTCACTGTGAGGCTGTGATGAACGATTCCAATAAAAGTTGGGCAGTAAGGCGAAGGAAACCAACCTAATACGAGATTTCAAAAAGAGCTGGGCCTTGTGGCAACAGGCTCCTGCAGGGGCAGTGCAGCACAACACAGTGTAAAACTCTTCAGGGGTGGCACAGTGAAAGACTTTTGTGGGGCAGCTTCTCAGGGTGGACAAGGTGAAGGTGGCTCCAGAGGGTCCATGAGGTAAGAACCTGGCTGCTGAGGTGGTCAGGAGCAACAACATGGTGGTCCAGCAGGTCTGGCCCATGGCTTCCAGACTGGCTCACCTGTCTCCTGGCCCTGAGGGCAGCAGCTTCCCCACCCAACACATCCCCAACATGGTGGGAGCAGGAGAGCTCAGGGCTGTAGGGAGGGGCTGAGGCCACACATAGCTCAGTGCAGGAATGGCGAGGCCCAGGCACCACTTGATTTGGTTTCCCTTGGCAGCTTTTTCCCCAAGAGGAACCTCATCACAACAACAAGGGCGTGTGAGCCTGAGTCAAAAAAAACAGCATGGGTATTGTAGAGAACACCACATCCACAAAGTCCTTCTGAAAAGTCCATAAAAACAGCTGCAGTGTATTTGGATGCCTATTTGCAGCCACAGAAGAATGATTCCCCTGATGAACTTTAGGACTGTGTCCGGCTCCAGTCAGCTGTCCCAAAACATACTAAAACTTTTTAGCTTACTTTCTAGGAGGTTCAGGGAAGTGGTGAACACACCGAAGGCAAGATATTCCAACAATGTCTTTAGAAATCAGAGAGACACAGTTACACATCTTTCCTACTGTATGTTACAAGTTTATTTGTGCAAAAATACAGTCAGTCATCAAGACTTCAGCTTTGCTGAGAACTGAACACAATTCCAGTGATATACAGGCATGGAAAGAGGTACTGTTGTAATTGGAACAAATACACCATAACTGTTGTTGAGTCAGCCAAGTGGTTCAATACACTTTGAGATACTGTTCTCAAGTGATTTAGACAACCTGTATTTAATTACGGTACCTCAAGAGAACCAACAAAGGTTGGGAGCAGAATAATGAAGTTTACAACTGCACTAACTCAAAGGAACATTAAAAAATGGTTTAGGCTTTCCTAATGCCAGTATTTCTTTCAAGCATAGGGAGATGAAGTTTTACCAACCTTTAAAATTGTATTTCAGAGTAACTGTAAAACAAATAGATGAAGAAAAGAAAGAAAAAACAACCAAAACTTTCAGAGCTCCATCCTGTGGGTCCACCACTTCATAAAAAAAGCACCACACCACCCCCAAAATAATACATATGGACAAAAAGGCATTGCTGAATCCCTCGGCCCCACTAAAATCTTCCTGTAGCTTCTACATCACTGAGAAAAAGTTTTCAAAAAATTCCTCTCCTCTGTGCAACCATGTTTTAACAGAACCACATTGGAAACTCGTAGCATTGTTCCAAGCAGCTATTTTTTGGTCTTAACAAATCTACCTGCTTCTTGCACAAGTGTTTCAACATCCTCATTGTCCTTTTCTTCTGAACTTGGTTCCCAGTCCGAGTCCTCATCAGTAGCTTCACACTCCTCTTCCTCATCATCTATAAAGCTGTCATTGAGGTCATACTCATTGGCTTCACCATCATTGGCACTGTCTTTCTCCACAGCCCTTTTTCCTGTAGGGACAAAAATGTCCTGAATATTATGAGTATTCCTGAATCATACGTGCAGAACTCAAGAGCCCTCCCAGAGCCCACCAAGTTAAGTCTCTCTCCTCGAGAGGAGAAGGAATCACCTAAACACATCTTCTGATTTACTTCCATGGTTACTTTGATTCTAGATCAAAGACGACTTCTTCATCCATCTATATATACTTAGGGCTATTTTATACTTTCAGTCTTTGCAATCTGACATGGCTTTTAATTCCTACTCACTTCTTTCCTGAGCTTCAGGTGAGAGAAGGATGTCTTCTATATCACTTGCCTCCTACGTTCTCCATTTGGATCCATGCTGGATAGTCTGGGCTTCCTTTCTGAATATGGGTTAAGGAAACAACAAGTGCTGAACACTTTCCTGAGCTGGGGGCAGCCTACCTGTGTCCCAGTTCAGTCTGTTATATCTCACTGCTTTCCAGTCTGCTTCCCATCCACCTACTTCACAACTTACATTCTATCATCAAATTGCCTTCTGCCTTCACAGCTTTTCACAATAGTCTTTATTGGCAGGAATCATACTTGGAAACCTCTCCTTAGAAGAAATGGATGCCATTCACAGCATGCTCCAAAACTTTCTTATAGTTTGTCTTGCAGCAGTCTTTGCATTGCTTGAACGTGTTGGCACATTTAAATTGATCCCCAGAGGCAGGATAATTCTGCTGTTTGAAGAAGCCTTACCTATCTGACTTGGTAGGTATCCATAGGTAGGATACATACACAGCTGCTGCCATGGCAGCATTGACTTCTTTTATTTATCAGTAGTGAGCACCTTCAAAAAGGTAATTTTCACTGCATTTTGGCAGATATATGTAACCTTTTCTCTGCAAGCCTATGACATCTCCCTTTTTCTTACATGCCCACAATTCCCAACTAGCCATGGCCTCTTAATATTCCAATCATGTCTTATTCTGCCACTAAGTCACACCTCTGAGTTTATGCCTCTAATTTTTGCATTCTTATCTAGAAATAACTTCTCAATGATATAGGGACAGATAACTTATCTGTTGAGCAGTTATCATCAGCTTTCAAATGAAACTATAAACATGTATTTTTTTCTCAGCTACAGACCCCAGTCCAAATCCTCACGTTTATATTAACCACAAGCACTTTCCAGCAAACTCTTAAAGCTTTGGGTCAGAGTTTCAGGCACTCCAGCTCTGTGTGGCGAACAACCACCACCACTGGCACCTTGTGCAGTCAGACCACAGCCTCTCTCAATTACACTTTTTTATTACTGGGAATGCTACTGTTCCAGAATTATCTTCCTTTTTATGCTTGCTAGTTTATTGTTTAACAGACTTCAGTGGAAATTAATCATGGCCATGTCAGCCCATACCAGCAGAATTTCTTGTAAGATTCATCACAGACTATGGTTCTGCAGAATGAGTTATGGCTTGAAGGGGAGGGGCCAAAACAAAGATGCTGAATGCAATAAGAACAAAATCCCACTACTCAGACTAAGCTTATGAGAATAATAAGCCCAAGAGCTGCTTAGCAAAGAAAAGGTCTTCTTCACTTTCACACCACTGTGGGGACATTTTACAAGAGAAACAGGAATTCTGGCACAATACTTATGACTTCTGTATTTTTCGTATAAATGCAGGACTAGCATACTGTGTTCTCCCTCCCTGTACACCCATGCTTTTGGATTTCAGCAGGGAACAATGCACTTCCTTCCATGTCTTCCCCATCCACCTCTTTCCATTGTAGTTTAATCAGCACCACAGTCTCCAACACTGCTCATTAAGCTCAATTCTGCTTCTTCCCCAGTGCTGTATTTATAAAGATGACCTTTAAACTTTCTCTGAAAGTATCTCCTTCATGTAGGGAGAAAAAGCTTGCTGACCACTCCTCCCAAAGATTCTATTTGGAAGTGAGCTGATCAGCTTGCTAGAAAACCTACAAAGAAGTGTGTAGGAGAATCCTGCATATTCCATGGTCACAGCAGGTCATTCATCTCAGTAGCAACAACACAATGAAGTCATTCAGTTGTGACAATTTAATGACAGCACAACTCTTGACTTTTTTTTCTTCCTCCCTCACAACTACTCCCCCAGTAATTTGCCTCAGACTATTTCTCGGAACATTCTCTGCAGGCAATTCGTAAACCCTCTGGTACCAATTAGACTAAAAATGTTAAAAACCAAACATGTCAAATGTCACGTAGAGCCTCTTCTCTTGGCTGGTGGAGTTTAAATACACATGTAGGGAAATTAACCCCACTGTGCTTAATGGTGCAGTTGTGCCAAACAGCACAAAATAAAGGTTAATGAAGCCCTGACTGTTTGTGTGACCCTGCTTGGTACAGCTGCCTCAGGAGTGAACCTGCTGAGCACTACACTTTTTACAAGCTTTGCCCTCAAGAGAGCTAAGTGAGCCAGTCAACATGATATTTAAAAATTTTTAAAAACCCAGTAAATATGAACAGCACTTTAATGAATTAATTCCCTTCTTTCCCCTGTGCATGGAATATCAAGTCTTCCCCGGTTCAACGAGAGTTGAATTTGATAGATTTAGACTTTTAGATATGTACACAGCCCAGCCTGTTTCATCCCAAAATCTTCACCACTCACTACTCTTACACTGCTGCCAACAGCCCTGACCACTCTGTAACACATTTTTACAAGGGACCTCTGATCAAGATGGGGCTGGTACTTGTATCACAGGATGCACCAAAGCACACAGGTAACAAATACACCTCGGAGTATTCTGGTGCACAGATACAGCCATAGCAAGCATTTCGTGAGAGCCAAAGTGCACACATGTTTGATAAGGAATTGGTATGGGAAAGAAATTTCTCAGCAGGAAGTTTAAAACAACCTCCTGCACCCATCCACAACAGAAATGAAGGACAAACCACTTTGCCTAGAAAACTAACTACAACTATTTCCACTTTTATTTATTTTCTCTAGAAGGCAGATCTCATTTGAGGAATTCTTTAGGAAATGCCCAGCCACACCTTGGTGATCTCAAGGAAGACAAGCCAGTTCCCACTCCCTCTCAACATGCAGCAGTTCCACACCTTCCTGTCTTGCTCAGGCCAGTGAAAGCAAAGACTGCATAGCATCACACTTTCAGTCTGCTCTTTAAAGCCCACTTTTAAATTATTTTAGAAAGAATAAGAAGCTTCACATTTAGAAGCTGAGACACAAAAGAATCCTGGAAGCAGCCCTAAAGAGTATTTAAAACTAGTCTGTGCATCTACAACATATGAACTTCTTTCACTTTAGTCCTAACAAGCCAGTATTTACCCTGAAATATCAATACCTAATTGCAAGTTTAAGAAAAGTTCATGTTCGCGCGCACAGATTATCACTTGAAAGTTATTTCAAGGTCAATGGAATGCACAAGGAATATCTACATGTTTCAGGAGCAATCAATCTTTATGGGGCAACCTTAACTAGCTTTGTATGAAATATTGGATTCCTTTCATCCTACTGTGACCCCTGTGTAAGGAAGAATTGATTTAGCCACATGTGTCTCTTGTTAGAAAACTTGTTTGTTTTCTTGCCTGCTTCCAGGGAAGTACAGACATGATTATCCAGAAAGCCTGGCACAAATTCAATTGAAGCAGTATTACTTGTAAAAAAACAAGAAGGGTTTTACTAAAATAACAATTACTTTCTCCTCAGGTAAGTATTAGCAAGCATCTATAGTACTATTAAATGCCAAAAAAACCACAGCAGACTTGTTGTGCCCCATGATGATATGCCCATTCATAACTTTAGAACACACTCACCATTTCTTGAAGTTTGTTGTCGGGTTCCTCTTTCAGTTCCTAAAGAAAGGGAAGTTTTTAGTCAGGACAGAGTGAACCCTGACATAAGGGTTATGCCATTAAACAAATCCTGCAATGGTTGTGCTGCACTTACAAGTATAAAAGCCACTCTGCTGCCCAAAAACACCTTTTTTGCCTTGAATCATTCCCAAGAGATTATCCAGATGAACTGTTGTCAGTGTTATGACCCCTTGCCATCTGTAGACAAACGTCACCAACAAAGGTTGGGGGTTTTTAAGAAGAAAACTGGAGTATTAAAAAGCATTTATATATTTTACACTATTGTTTCCATAACTGCAGTTCTTTCCTTAGTAATGTCACAATCCTGAGTCTTTACAGTAAAATACATTATCATTACAATTCCATTAATGTTCTGCTCTAAACTACTGTTTACTGCATTGGGATTTCACGTGGAAAAAAACCCTAGATTCAATAATCTAGAAAAAGCACAAAAAATGTGAAGTAAAATGTGAAGTATCTCTTTCAATTATTTAAGAACAGACAAAATGTAAACAGCACATTCCCCTCTGTTTTTCAACAAGTCAAGTTGCTGAAATATAAAAAGACTACAAAGTGTTAGAATAGGAACTCAAATTCAGTTTTAGGCCTCAAGAGAACATACATGCAAAAATTAGTTCTCACAGTAAGAAAATCACTGGTCCCCCCCAAAAAAGAAAATACAGAAAGACGACAGATATGGTCGCAATGTTTGGTTTAGAGCATCAAAAAACTTTAAAATTGTAACTTAGCAAAAGAAAAAAAATCCCAGAAAAAAAATAATCCAAATACAGAGTAAGATGTAAATTTTATTCTAAAAGTAGATTAAAGCATTTTATTACAAGTTTTGGGTATCCATCACTGGGTTTGGGTTTTTTAACTCACACTTTGAGCAGTATTGAACAAGCTGGCTTACCTGGAAGCGCAGTGTGCTTGTATTACAGCTTGTGCTGTGGGTTCTTCCTGCAAAGAAGAAAATAGCAAAAGCTTGATTCATCACCTTGTTCCACACTTAACAAGTCCAGAATTCCCTGGTATTTTATGGATAATTTTCAAGGCATAGCATTTAGATCAGTTGATTATGCTCCCTTCAAGTAGTGGCCAACACAGGAGGACAACAAAAAGAACACGAAAAACCTTCAAATTATATCTGTTGCTTTATCAAAAGAATTATCACTGTTTCATGGATACCTCTTTTCCTCTACGCCCAAAGAATGAAGCAAATATTAAGAAATTACCAACTAATACAACACAGAGGTTGTCTTATCTGGAAGGAGAGACAGTTTGGGGTTTAGATAAAGCATCTGTTGTACTCCTGAAAAGCACATTGGCAATTTCATTACTGATATAAACCTACATTGCTCAGCCTGAGATGAAAAGTTCGTCTCATAGAAGTTTATAAGAGAAACACTTTTTCTGCATTAGCTGAATAGAACCATGGTTTTTTCTTAAAAGCTGCCCTCATTTTGTTACATTTCATGGAGAACATGCTCTTTAGGATCACCACACTTTTCAAGAGAAAAGGTTTCTCTGTAGGAAGAATCTTTATTAACAGCAGCCCTTAGTTTCGACATGGCCCCACAGAAGTCTTATTGCCTCAAAATATATCTTTTTATCCATTGTGGGAATTCCACGGCAGTGAAACTCTGCTAAACAAAAGTGTAAAACCTAGATACAGAAAAACAAATAGAATAAAACAATAATTTGAGGAAAATCAACAGTGCTTAAAAGAAAACAGCAGTCAGCTATAAACTGGTTTTATTTATTTACCTCAACTATGCTTTCTAACAACTCAAATACTGATTAAAATAGTTTTTATACAAAATATCAACAAACACTTTATCAAAATTTAAACTAAAAGTTACATATCAGGAACACCAGGTAACAATAAATTATATATAAACAATACATTTATATAAAATAACAGTTTACTGAATGCTGAAAAGTGCTGACCTTCAAGTCACTGAATAGGTTCCAAGAGTCAAATTTTCATTTACCAGCTGAAATTACAAACAAAGCAGTGATTTTTACTGTGTCACCGTGCAAAATATGCACAGACTCAAGTGTTTTAAAGGTAACAGTCTGACCATGGTACATTTCAGAAGGCTACAGTCAAGATTTCACACCAAGAATTATTCTCATTATTCTACCGTCATTTTGCAACTGCAGGGGAGAACATTCTTAGCCTGTAAACAAGAAGAGCCACTTTGTACAGTGTTTCTAACCTATAACAAGCTGTTCCATATGGACACTCGGGCCGGTTGTCGTTGTTATCCTGAGATATCATCTCCATGTCATGATAGTCGTCATCATTAGGGTGACTGAACTGTTGGAAGTGAATGGGATTCTTCCTGCAAAAGACAAATATACACCAAAACCTGACTGTTCTGTTTCAACACAAGAAGCAAAGACAAGAAAGGTATTACTAAATCAGTGACAGCTCATTTTTCAGTGGTTACGAGAAGAGGAGCTTTTAATGTTTAACCTGATGCAGAACATAAGACCTACTTTCAGGATAACAAAAGAAAAGTTTTGTCTCAGCTGCAACAGAGGCCAGAATAAGAATTTTCCTATTTGCCATCAGCTTTAAGTTTCAAACCTCCAACACATACACAATAGGTTTTATTAGAACAACAAATCACCACGCTGACATAAGATGTAATAACCGCACGTGTAGCTGAGTCACATCAATGTTAGTGATGAGAGCACATGACCAGCATCCACAATTTCCTGCTCTACAGCACTTGAATCCCAGGTGAGCAAGTAGGGAACACAAATATATGCATCACTGAAAGAACATTCCTGCTGCTTCAATGCAATAAAATTCCACACACCACACAAGACAAGGCAGCCATAAACAGCATCACTTATAGAAGAGTGATATATAGTTCTTTCATAGAACTGCTGTAAGTGATGTTAAAAAGAACACAGAAAAAACATGTTATAACTTCAGGAGAAATTCATGTGACAGATCAAAACACACTACAAAAAAATACATCAAAATGAACATATTGGTATCAAAAGCAAATCTACCTTTTCCTCATGATTTCTTTTAGAGACGCTTTTTCTTCCAAGCATAATATTTAAGCGCAAGAAATATGAGTCATTTTAATAATTTTTTTTCCAAAAGACATCCACAATACACTTCAGTGATTACCAAAATTATTCCCAGAGCACATAACCTGTAGTTTGTTTGTGCACTTCTCAAAGATCCAGTATCCCTTAGATCTACTTCCACAGCTGACAGGCTTCTTGTCTTAGTCTTTTCTGTTACTTCTGCAAACTGTAGGGTAAATAAAATAATGCTTCCCTAGAAACCACTGCTAGGTTGCATTTACTGGTCTTTTATTCCACGAGTTCTCATGAAACATTAATTCTTATGCCAAATTCAGACTGGCTGCCTAATTCTTTTCCCATTTAAAAATAAATGGGATGAAACCAAGTCATTTAGAGCCCATTTTCTTTGTTTTCTCGATGAACAGCGCTAGCAAACTAGCAATAATAACAAGAATTCTCAGTCATTTGAAACACAATACATCTTCTCCAAAGGATACAGCAGCAACTAATGTTCTTTGAAATAATTTTAATCTGTATTCCTACAACAAGATACATGTAGCATCGCGGTCTCCAAGGAAAGAAGGCCTTGTAGCTGTCAATTAGCCAATTTATTGTATTTTAGGAGATATTCTTTTCCTTTCAAAAATTTGCTTCAAGACCTACACTAAACAGCCCTTTCTGGAGGAGAGAAAAAAAAAAAGAAGTAAGGGAAGAGCAACAAAAGGGTTGCACAAGACCTCGTTACCAGGCTTCAGGAGACTTTGGGCCAGTGGATGGTGCTCCTCTAATCATACATCTTCTGTGAAGCACCTTGAACATGTCCCACCGCAGAGGCTCAGGACTAGCAGAAACATCATATTTTATCTTACTTTTACCTGGATAATTTGTACTTTTCCTACTTCTCTGTGTAGTGCAACAATACTCAGCAAAATAAATGGAAGCAGAAAAGTGCATAGGTAATATTAAGCAAATATTTTCCCTTCTTGCAAAAAAACCCCTAAGGCTTCTTTCTTAAAAGTTTTGTTTGAGGTTTTTTTACCATTTATTTTTAGGCATAAGATATTTGAGTTACAAGAGCATATTATCACACTGTAAGCTGCACTCCAAAGTTAGGTTTCATAACAAAGCCTCACTGCACAGGGATTTGTATTCGTTTGATCAAATCAAGACCATTAGGCCTTACTTACACAAAAAGCAACCAAATAAAAACCTATTTTAAGAATAAAGTTTTATGACTATTGCCTTCATATAAACATACCGGTACAGTAACTGCAGCTTTGATTTCACAGAAGCTCTAAATTTGTATCCTCACACTTCATGATGCAGGAAACTACAGTGGCAGTTTGAGCCACATTAGAAATCTAAAATCCAATTTTTAGGCTCCCCCCCACCCTTCCCCCAATTTATCCTAACACCGGAGAGAAACTTTCAGAGCAGAGGCTTCTGTAGGGGAAGGGGGAAGTATATACATTTATTTACACAAATAAATACTATACAAACTAAAGGCAACTATATATATATATATATTACATTACTATCAGTCAGTCCTTTCAAGCCCGTCCTTTAACTTTAGTCCAGGAGCAGCCTTTAAGGCTGATATGTAACACAGTCTTTTGCTGTGGGAGTGTTCTGGGCTCCTGAACGCTCCCCCCTCACCAAGTTCAAGTTGTTTGTTGCAGTTTCTCTCCTCACAAAGTCCAAGAAGATAGTTTTGAGTCCTTGCTCTTCTGCTGCTGGTGATTTCTTCCTCTCAGTGTCTCACCTCGGTTTGTAAGCTGCTGCAGTGTAGCTTATCAAGCGTCTGTGTCCTGGAATGTTCATTCCTCCATGTCAGTTCTCGGCTGCCCCCAGTCAGCTTCGGCAGGCAACTCTCGAGCTCTTGGCTCGCCTCCAATTTCACCTGGGATTCCCCTCCCGAGCGCCGGGCCTACTTCCATGGCCCAGTCTTTTGGCTCAGCTTCAATGTTGAGCCTCTCCTCCACTTACAGTGGAGGGAAAGAAAAAAGCCCCCCTCTACAGCTTCACTGCAGAAAAGGAGGGGGAAGAGGGCTTGGCTGCAAAGCCTGCCTCTCTCCTCTTACCTCAGGTGCTGTGAATCTCTTCCTTCACAGCATACACTCCCAAATGCTGACTCTAACTCTAGCCAAAGGCTGAGCTGGGGGATCGCAGGGCTCCCCTCTCCCCCCCAGAGGGGAAGAGAGGGAGCCCAGCCACCCCCTGGCTTTCTCCACCTACACGCAGCAGACAGCAACAGCAAAACAACCAAGACTGAACTGCCAACAGCTTCCGGTGCTGTGATATATGATTTTGAGCAGAAGCAAACAACATGAGTGGTGACTGGCTCTCCAGGGAACTGCCCTGGTACCCAATCACTTCTGAGCCCCCCCAGACTCTCAGGGGGGCCAATTTCAAACTATGACAGCAAATAAAAACTATGTAAATAAAATTTTAAAAGTTCTTCACCGTCAATGCAGTCAACTCAAGCAGAAGTTGGGAAGTATTGCTCAGTGAAATATTTAAGATAGCTGTTCATCTATGCAGCCACCAAAAGTAACAGTTAAAAGCTTTTTCTAAAGCAATTTTAACTGACCACTTCAGAATCCCTGACTCCTCACAATCCCATGCAGAAGACCCATGGCCATCTCAAGGGCTTATTTTCTCAGCTACTGGAAAAAACTGGTAGTGAAAATGTAATTTATTACCAGCACTACTTATAAAGCTGTAGAATTCAAGCCTGCAGTTATGCCACAACTACACATAAGATGTTTCTAAGTTCTAAATTTTAAGTCTTATTAGAAGACAGGACTCAAAAAAAAAAAAAAGTCAGGTGCAGGTCTATAGCTGCCACACTTACAAGCTTAAGGTGAAAGGAAAAATAATTTTATAAACAAATAAATAGCCAAATATTTAGAAGAACAGAAAAATCCAAAGGTTGGTTGAGCATCTCCTGCTTTGACAGGTACAGGAGAGATTTACACACCCCCATTCAGCAGAGAACTGTATCCCAGGCTACGGAAAAAGGATTGAATTTTGGACAAAATTTGTGAGTTCCAATGTGAGAACAAAGTTTGGGTCGCCTGTACACTTCTATGTGGCCTTTGAAAAGGGGAGTGGTGGTGGATTTACTTTTATTTTTAATTTCCTGTTCTTCTAGCTTAGAAAAACAAGCAACAGACAAGAAAAAGAGCACACAACAGTATTCAGAGGGTGAGTTCCTTGACAACAAATATAGGCAGCTACAACACATACAGAGCACTTTGTCTCCCAGTGGTAACAGCAGTTCCTTTCAATTTGGTAAAGCCTCAGACCACCTCAGAAAGAAAATATGACACTGCAGGAATGTGACAAGAAGATTCCCTGGGGTGAGAGGTTCCATCAAGCTTGGTTCTTTCAAAACCAGTGATTTCAAATTCATAAATGAAGAAACTGAACTACGGGTTACAAAGTTATTTCCTAAATGTTTAAGACAAGTGTAAGAGATATCTTATCAAATTAATAGATTTAATACTTAATCTGTGCTCTAACACAGCTCTGCACCAATGCAGAAACAGCTATTTGGGGGCCTTGAATTAAAAGTAAATATACAAAGACAGATTACAAAGCACATTTCTATTACTGCAAACAGGCAGGTTCCGTCTCATGACATTTCTCAAAGATCAAAGCTGATATTTTTGATACTCCCTATTTACAAATTTCTTTGACTAAGTAGGATTAATATGTGTTATTTTAGAACATTTTTTCTTATAAAGCAATACTTTCCAAAAGTACTGTTGCCAAATGTTTTGCAATCAAGAGAAGAAACCAAGAAGAAATGTGCACATGTAGACTCCTACTCCTTATTACCTGTACCTAAGATTTGCCTTCCTAAAGATTAGGAATATTTCAGCATATCAGAGCATTAAATCGCCTTAACACCCATACAAGGGAAAACTTGTCCGAGCAAAATTAAAAGTAGTTGGAGCAAAACAGAGGCTGCATTTGTAGTACTGGGTCAACTAAATTGTCTAATAAAACATGTTTTCATCATAATCATTAAGGGAAAAGACGAGATACATGAAAACTGAAGCATGATGTGTTCACGAACACAACAGCTTTATGGTTTTGATATACACATTTACCTCAGCGTTAGGCCCACCAAACATACAATCACTTGTGCTTAGTTGTTTTCTCCTCAAACTCACTGTTTTTCTTATTGCTGAAGTCCCTTTCAGGAAGGAGAAAAAAAGTCACAGGACTCCCTGTTTCCTGGATTAGCCATATCTTTTGTGTTACAATGCACATGAGTTTATCTAGAGCTCAAAACCTTCTCCTAAATTTAGTTCTCAGGTCACCAGGCATTTTCTAGTCTCAAGAGCACCTCCAGAGATTCCTCCCACACCAAACGTCCCAGCACAGAAAGCTCTCGCTGTATAAGGCAATTTTGGGAGTCGGTCTGGCAGTTGGGAGGCAGGTGTGAAAACAGGAAATGACAGCGCTTATCGGCAGGAAAGAAAGCCTGAAAGCTTTGTTTTCGAGGTGCAGTTGATCCCCATGGAGACTCCATGGGGATCAAAACACTTCTCTGGTGGCATCTTAGCTGTGGGAGGAGTCTTTCATGCAAGTCTAAGGATCGGTCTGGCAGTTGGGAGGCAGGGCTGAAAACCAGAAATGACTGCCCTTATCGCCAAGAAAGAAAGCCTGGAAGCTCAGGCTTTGTGGTGCAGTTGGTTTGTCAACCTGGCACTTCCTTGAACAGCGAGAGCTTTCTGTGCTGGGACCTTTGGTGTGGGAGGAATCTTTGATAATATGCAATTCTGGCAGTCGGTCTGGCAGTTGGGAGGCAGGTCTGAAAGGAGGAAATGCCGGCCATTATGGGCAGGAAAGAAAGACTGGAAGCTTTGGCTTTTTGGTGCAATTGATTAGTTAGCCTGGGGACTCGATGGGGAGCGAGAGCTTTCTCTGCTGGCACCTTTGCTGTGGGGGGAGTCTTTGTTTTCATGCAATTTTGGGAATTGGCCTGGCAGTTGGGAACCAAAGCTGAAAAGAGGAAATTACAGTTCTTATTTCCAGGAAAGAAAGCTTGGATACTTTGGCTTTGCGGTGCAGTTGGTTTGTCAACCTGGGGCGTCCATGAGCAGCAAGAGCTTTCTGTGCTGGCATCTTTGGTGTGGGAGGGATCTTTGTTTGTATGCAATTTTGGGAGTTGTTCTGGCAGTTGGGAGGCAGGTCTGAAAACAGGAAACAATAGCCCTTATCCCCAGGAAAGAAAGCCTGGAAACTTGGATTTGTGGTGCAGTGTGTTTGCCAAGCTGGGCCGTCCATGAATAGCGAGTACTTTCTGTGCTGTCATCTTTGTTGTGGGAGGAATCTTTGTTTATATGCTGTTTTGGGAGTCGGGCTGGCAGTTGGGAGGCAGGGCTGAAAACAGGAAATGACAGCGCTTATCGGCAGGAAAGAAAACCTGGAAGTTTTGGCTTTGTGGTGCTTTTGGTTTGTCAGCCTGGAGACTCCATGGGGAGCAAGAGCTTTCTGTGCTGGCCTCTTTGGTGTGGGAGGAGTCTTTGAATGCAATTTTGGGAGTTGGTCTGGCAGTTGGGAGGCAGGTGTGGAAACAGGAAATGACAGCCCTTATCGCCAGGAAAGAAAGCCTGGGGGCTTTGGTTTTGTGGTGCAGCTGGTGTGTCATTCTGGGCACTCCATGGGGA